TTCCTTAGCGATCGTTAAGTAGTGTATTTTCTCCTTTCCTATAAGTTTCCAATTCCTATGATAAGTTTTCAATTGGTGAGCCATAATATTGAAATACTAAGCTCGTTTATTCATAGATGTCAGTATCACAGGGATGCTGAACACAAAGTAATCTAATATTTCCCATCACTCATGATAGATGGCTCCACTAGATAAACTAATCCACATTCTACTGTTCATTTCATGAAACACAAATCGACCCCAATGTATTAACCCGTACTAGTTGTTGATTACCCCAAACCGTACCAGTAGTAAACGGTATCAAACTCGTAAAGATGAAGTAATATTCCTAACCTTAAATTTTACTTTTAATTGAATGAACAAACTGCTCGTGGTTATTTTACAGTCATTTAAGAATGGAAATTTGAAAGGTATACTTAATGGATAGATTTACTTAAATGCTTATTATTGGTCAATAGCAAAATATTGGTTATTTTTATATACAATTATTTAATTTGCTAATGTATCTGTTACCGGCAAAATATGAAACGCCGGCATTGTATAGAACAGTGTTTCCCAACCTTTTTTGTGCCGTGCCCCACTCAAGCCTTTCAAAAATTCTTATGCCCCCCTATGTGACATACACATAATTTTTAATATTAAAAAATTGAATTGTTCACATAAGAAACTTAAATGATAGGTTTCAGTGAGAAATCTCTAGGAAATTGCTGATGAAACACAGTAAGTAAAATTTCGACTTATAATGAAACTTATAGTGAAAAACTAAAATTCAAATTCAGAATAATTTTCATAAAGATTTTTCTATTATAATTTAATATTTTAATTTAGAGAGATCCTTGCGCTTGATGCTTGCTGCACAGAGATTTTATGTTAGTTTCCAATTTGGTTAGCTTCAGCCTCAAGTCTCCCTACAGTGTTATATCCAGGCGATTTCCTTTTTTTTTTACCAGTAAATCATTTACAGCAGTAAATCCACATTCGGCTAAATAAGAAGATGGAAACGGTAATAATAGTTTTCATGCATATTTGGTTGAATTTGGGTATTCGATTTTTGTTTCCTCACAAAGCCATGCCATCACTCTTTTTATGTAAAATAAATTTTTAACTGGCTTATCATTTTGCATTTCTGAGAGTTCTTCTTGATACTACATATTTCATATACCAGACAAATGCACTAACATTGGCTGCATCATCTGTTTAAAAAAATCAATTTGTTTTAAATCAGAAAATCTTTCTTTTAAATCAGCCGATAGAATTTTCAGATGATTGAGTAAGTAAAGTAAAGCGGTAGTAAAAGATAATTGACAAGTAAAGCGATATCATTTACTTTTAATTTTTGGGGACAATTAAACTGATCCAAGTTTTTGTTTTCTGACTTAACTTAATAAGGGTAATGAAACCAAATATCTTCGTTTTTGTATCAATAAGAGTTTTATTTGTTCCTTGAAGTTGCTCATTTAATGTATTTAGTTTTTCAGAGATATCGGCTAAATAACTCACAAATGCTTTTCAATCGACTGTTAACAGATACTTCATATCAGGTTTACCGCTTAAAAAATCACTAAGAGTATCAAACAGTCCTATGAATCTTTTCAAGCAGTTCCCTTTAGAGAGCCATCTTACTTCAGAGTGAAGTAAAAATCTCACATGATCTGCATTTTGCTCTTCACGAAACAGCTTGAAGAGGAGCTCACATTTGGCATTAGCTTTAATAGCATCGATACACTTTATTACTGAATGTAAGTACTTCATTTAGAACAGACGAGATGTTTTTAGCTACCAAGTTTTCCCTATGCAATAACACAATGCATAAGAATCATTTCTGGATTCTCATCTTTCATCAATTTTAAGTAGCAATTTTTCTTGCCCTTCATATTAGGAGCACCATCTGCAGCACAAGATAATTTATTTTTCATTGGTATATTATTGACATCTAAGTTTTTTTCAGCTTATTATATAATACCTTTGGATGTAGTGGTGCTTTCTAATCTTTTACAGAACAACATTTCTTCAGCAAAATGCCTTTTATCAATATATTTTACGTAAGTTATCAATACTTCCACACTGTCTATCAAAGTTGATTCATCCATTTGCACTGAGAATTTTCTTGTTTTTAGCTTGTCAACAAGTTGTTTTTCAATATCTTCACTCATTTCGACGATTCTTCTGCTAACAGTATTGTTATTGAGTAGCATAGCTTTTACATCTTTTTCAAGAACTGTTTTAAGAAATGCTGATACTGACGGTTTTATTTAATTCTCTCCTATAGTATGATTTCTTCCAAATTTAGCGATGAATAAAGAAATTTCATAACTAGCCTCAGGAATACAATTATGAGTTGAAGTGTGAGCAGTAAATAAAGACTTTACTGTTGCATTGCTGACATAAAAGACATACTATGGTATTGATTTCTATCACTGAATGTTGCGAAACACTACAGAAGTTGCGACGGGCCATTCAGATGCGAACAACTGCATTGTTTAGCGAAATTTTAAAGCGTCAAGGGGTCTACGCGGAGCCTGCCATATGCCGCAGGGAGGTTAGTTAACTTGACGACGCCAAAAACCCAGTTGATATTTTGGTCTCATCAAACGANACTTATTTTCCTTAGAAAAATAAATGCAGAAAAGGAACAGAAACGTTTTAAAGTAAATAAACTAGCAACAGAAAGATATCCGAATTGAGTGAACAATACTTAGGGACATTATGAAAAGAAGATACGTAACAAGGTTTTAACTTTAATTTGCAAACAGTTATGGCAGATGTACACGGTGATTTTTGACTAAACGTGATTGTTACGTATTTCTTAATATATATTTCCAATAGTATAATTTATTTAGAGAACTATTTTTTTAAATGGTAAATTACCTAATTTTCAATAACTTAGTTTCAATTAGGGCACACATGATGCAGTTATTATTTCGTTTCAAAATTTAATCTGGAAATATTTGAATACGGAATTGCTTTTTTCATTTATTCGATATTTTAATACTTACTGACGATAGATTAGAAGAAACATCAGTGTTTGGAGTATCGGGCAAATGTATACCGGGCAGTGACCCTTGACCTTAAAAAACATGAGTGTAGGGTATACCGGGCAATGGCACTTGATCTTAAAAAAACATCAGTGTAGGGTATACCGGGCAATTGCACTGAACCATAAAAAAACATCAGTGTATGGTATACCGAGCAAATGTTTACCGGCAATGGCACTTAACTAGACCTAGTATATATTTCGGACATTCACCAAAGGTCCAGTCATACTAGTTCTAGTTAAGTGCCATTGCCCGGTATACCCTACACTGATATTTTCTCTAAGGTCAAGTGCCATTGCCCGGTATACATTTGCCCGGTATACCCTGCATTGCTGTTTCTTCTAATCTATCGTCAGTAAGTATTAAAATATCGAATAAATGCAAAATTACCGATTTCGTTCATTCGGTCAGTAACATGCATTTCTCAAAAATAAAAATGTTATTCTAAAAAAATACTGAGAGTGCCATTGAAAAACATTTATTCAAAATGTGGAAAGAAAATTAAAAAGTTATGCAAAACAAAATTTAAGACTTTCATATTAAGGGAAACAAAATTTTCATATAAAAATTATGAAATTAACCTACTTGTTGCAACATCGCAGGCTTGAATGACATTTTGAATTACATTTCATTAAATTTTTCCCGGTAAATTTCTTTAAATTCCTCCATTTCCATGTAGCACAGTAAAGAAATAATTTTTGTTATTAGTCAAAAATCGCGAGCCACGCGTTGGAAGTCATGAGCTTTGCCAGGTGATATTTGAAACGAATGGGAGATGTATTTTATACTTTGCCGGTTTCTCATTTGGCAATCTATAGAATGCCTAGGAAATGTGTGAAATATAAATCACTTCATACTTTGCCGGCTAATTTTAGGCATTCTATACAATGACTAGTCATTCTATACAATGCCGGATTTCATACTTTGCCGGTAACATATCTATTATAAGGAATTCAAAGAAAACCTATTTTTTTAAAAGTAATATTCGTTGACGATTGAAAAACCGAAGAAAAATATGTTATTTTTAAACAATATAAAAATTGAAATTTGTGTGAGAAGCTATTTATCTGATGAAAAAATGTAATATAATTTTCACATTTATTGATATTTTTTCAAATTGAAAGTCTTTTTCTCCATAATCTATATTTATTTTCCAAATATTATTAAATCCACTGAGCATTATATTTTTAAGTGTTTTTTGTCATTAATTGGCAAGAATAGAATCACTGAGTCTCTGAAAGCAATTCTCATATAATTTCATTGAACTTTGACTTTTGTTCTTTCTGATGGCAAAAGATTAGTTTTACCAGCATAGAGATTTTGGTTGTTTTGGCAAAAAGGTATTGACTCAGTATTTATAGTTTCCTTGTTATTATCTATTGGTGTTGCTGAAATACAAAATCTACGAATTTTATTATCTCTCTTTAATCAATTTCCAAATCATTTCATTCACCCTTGTTCTCTTGAAAGTAGAACTTCTTTAAAACTTTGGATTTTCTTTCATTAAGTTACCGATTCAGAACTTATATTTTCTCAGTTATTATACTGTTTTAACTATAATAATTTTGCACAGGGTTAACTTTTAAGATTTATATAATTTAATTCAATAAACAAATATTGTAATTTTAAACACAATCAAGCTTATCCTCATTTTTACGCTGAATCGGTATAAATACTCATCAGAAATTGTTATCAGGGTTACATTTTTTGTTATCATAGTTCCACACACTTGTAGAATTATAAAAACAATTGAGAATGAAAAAATCGCTGTTTGGATGTTAGAAATTTACATATTGCAATCAACAATCTATTATAATCTATTGAAGATAATTTAAGAAACCAAAGTGTTTTAATAGAAAATTTTATTAATGCTTGAGATTTTACAGCAGTTTCGCTTATTTTATGACAGAAGACTTACGATTGAATGTGAAGTAATGGTAAGGTAATCGGTTTAAAGTGGATGAGTACTGCTTTATTTTAATGATGATGGCCATGATGGTGATGATGACCCTCATGATGGTGATGTCCGTGGTGGTGATGATGCCCGTGATGGTGATCATGGTGATGATCATGATGATGTCCATGGTGATGATGGTGTCCATGATGGTGATCATGCCCATGATGGTGCCCATGATGATGGTGAGGCTTCGGTTCTGGATTGCACATTGCATCAGATATGAGTAAGAAAATGCAAATAGTGGAAATCAAGAGCAACGCAGTTTTCTGTAAGAAAAGGTCATTAATTATAATTGGTTCCCTTATTAAGATCTTATAGATACTTTTTCCTTAAAAATCAAAAGATCCGTCCATGAATAGATTTTATTTAGTAGAAACCATCCATGTGTATAAAACCATTGAAAAAAATCATTGCGATGATTTAAAACAATAAAAATTCTATTTTTTTCCTAATTCCGAATTTCAATAATTAAAAATACATAATTATGTTCGAAGTTGTACATATTTAGAAA